GAAATTTGCTGTTTTCACTTTTACTTTGTACATAAGAAGGTGCAAATTTTATATCATGCACAAAACACAACACAAACACAACACAGCCATGCAGAATTTTACTCAACACACTCATTCTATCATTTGTAATGGCAGTTTCATTCATCAAAAACATTTCCTTCAAAAGTTTATTTGTCAAAATGGGAAACTTATTTAATGTACTGAAATGATGACTTCAAATTGTGAGAGATTGTGTGCTTATGAATAATTACCTTCAGAACCATTTTCATTATTTGTAAACGTTCTCTGCAGACTGCAGAAAACCGCTTCGTTTTTTCCCTTTTAACTAAAATAACAGTATCCAGGGAATGTAGGTGGGTTGTAAATTTGCTTTCACGAACTTCAAACCTTCGTGGTTGGAAATTTAACATTTTAACTGCTTACGTTTTTTGACTGTCCCTCTTTAGTACAGGTTTTACAATGAAGAAATAAAAAGGACATGAAAACCATTGAAGTGTTTTCGTTAGAGCTTGTCAAATTTGAACGAAAAACATCCATTCTTTAACATTCTTTGCTCATTTTCTTGCGAACCTTTTCGGTTTTGCATAAGACGTAAAAGACTTAAAATATGTACAAGCTCTTTTCTGCCAAACAGCCTAGCATTCATTTTTAATTAATGAATTCAAATTTTTTAAAATAATTTGTAGTTTACAGCACTAAATTGTTTTCTTGACCAGAATAATCCAGCTCAAAGTATGAGTTTAAGTGTCAACGAATCTTAAGTTTTGGTTTAAAAAATCGTTTAATAAACTAAGCTAAACTAGCTTGTTTCGGTTCCTAACAAGTGACAGGGGAAACTGACTGATTTGTTCTTTAGCCAACAGTAAACAAAATATAGGCAATTTCTTCCAAATAAAAATTGACTTCTGTAACTATAAGAACTTCAGTGTAAACTTAGCAGGCAGGTTTTCGCTCTTTGCATTTAGGAAATATCAGTATTCTGAAAATGCAAAATTTTGGGGTGACAAAGGGTTAAAGTCTAGTCTGTATACTCCAAAAAAAGTTGAAGTTTTCAACATTAAATATTTAAAAAATATTTTGTATTTTGGCCTTACAGTTTTGGAAGAGGTAATTGTGCTATGCCCTCTCAATATTCAGATTTGGCATTTTTAATTTTGCAACTTGATTAGAAAACAGGAAGCGAAAGCTAACGAGAAGAAAACTGTAAACAATGATTAACCCGGAGAATCGTGTCTTCGCAATTACCCCCCTAGTTGGAGACTGACTGGGTTTACCCTTTGCAAAATCACTCCCATTTACAGAAATATAATCTAAGTGGCTGTGAGGCACAAAACTCGGAAAAAATTATGTTGTTTGCAAAATCGTAATATATGTCATTGGTCCTTGGTTAGTCGGATAATGTTACCTGTTTACCAGATATTTAAAATTTAAAGCTCATAAAGAAATATCATTCATCTTTTTTCTTCACCTTTTTTTTTTTTTTTTTTTTTTTTTTTTTTTTTTTTGCTGACGTCCATGTTACGCTTTTGACGAAATAATGTCAATGTTGAAAAATCTTAAAGGCACATAGAATCAACTGTGGTTGTTTTGTGTCCTCAATGTAATATTTAGACAAAATACTTTGCTTGTTATTCTTCTGTAAACATGGTTATCGTAGTAAACAACAGCTGGTAAGTCATTGATTGCCTGAAAACAGAAGTTTAGGAATGTTCGTATTTTTACGTCAGGATTTGTTCAGTGGCAGACGTCCAGTAAAATAATGCAGTTTGTACAATAAACCGAATTTCCCTGTCAAGTTTTCTTTATTTTTTAAGTAATATGTATCAAGAATGAGACGCAGTGATTCATCACCAGATGAAACACCAAGAAGGGAGTTGAAAATACGACGCGCCGCGGAGTATTTTTGACGAACTTCGAGATGTTTCATTTGGTGATGAAACACTGTGTCCAGTGCTTGACATTACTTCTCAAACGACAGGATTTTAGAAGGAAAAATTAAGGACGCAAAAATTAGCAGTTTCCATCTGATTTCCAAACACTCATTAAACATTAATTTTCCTTCTGTTTTCTTTATGAATTATTAAAGAGTTTGAGAAGAGATATTCAATGGAGCGCCGAGTTTGGATGCCCCTTGTATTCCCAGTTCTCCCCTGGATACTTAACAATTATTCCTCGAGCCTGAATGGGCTCTGAGTCAATAGCCCAACAATAGCCCATGCATGAGGCCGAAGGCCGAATGGGCTATTGACTCAGAGGCCATGAGTAGAATAATTGTTTTAGTAAAATCCAACTACTGTAGTTGGTCAAAAATATCGAGACAAAACAACTTTAGCTAGCAAAACGCAATTCAGCCGCCATTGTTTTGGTTTTCAAAGCCGGCGCTTTCCTCTACTGGTGGCATACAACATATAGCCTAGCAGTAGCTCAACCAATCAGAACGCAGCATTGATAGTAGCGCGCTAGTTGGATTTTACTAATAGAACAAAGAACGTCTTTTAATGACTTCAATGAACTCGTTTAACCCTTTGCGTATATTTTTCTATCTACCAGGAACTGTTTCACGCAACAAAAATGAACTACACGTTAGAGAACCAACTGGCAGAAATGTTAAAAGAGTTTCAATCAAGAAGCCAAGTCAAAGCTGCTTTGGTATTAGGTTTATACGTGCTTATTTTGTTGCTTTTGTTTCTTGGGAACAGTCTTACACTCCTTGTTATGTTGTTAAATCGACGGATGAGGACAATTCCAAACATCTTCGTAGCATCACTCGCTGTTTCGGACGTATTATTAGGCCTTTGCAGTTTGGTGCCTTTTGGCATTCCAGTATTAGTGACTTCCCATTGGCTGTTTAACGATACAGCTTGCCAATTTCAAGGTTACATTACTGTCGCGTTGGTTGTCGCTTCAATTCATACATTGGTCTTAATGGCAGTGAACAGATATTATAGAATCGTCAAACCAGCAAAGTACCAACGCTACTTCACAAAGAAGAAAACCCTCATCATGATTCTTGTGTCATGGTTCTCTTCTTTTTGTGCTCCATTGCCTCACGTGCTAAGCGGAGCAAAAATAGTCTTTCATCCTGCCAAGTTCTTCTGTTACTTTGTCATAGAAAAAAGGGCATCCCTACATTATGGTCATCCACTTTACATAGGTGTCCCAACCTGTGTTATTATTTACTGCTACTTAAGAATCTTCTCAACAGTTCGCAATCACAACAGAAATGTTCATCTTCCAGGCAATCCTATGAGCTTGGTCAACGTAGAAGACGTTAAAGTGGCTCGCACCATATTTTTAGTAGTAGTGTTTTTTAATCTTTGTTGGATTCCAATCTTAACAGTTAACGTTTTGGACGATGTATTCCAAAGATGGATCTTCCCTACTGAGGTCTACATTTTAAATTCGTTTTTGGGCACTTTAAGCAGCGCGGTGAATCCTTTACTTTACGGCGTGATGAACAAGAGTTTTCGTACGAATTATTTGAAGCTGTTACGCTGCACGTACTGCCGATCTCAAGTTGTTGTAGGACCATTGGCTCAATAAGGACAAGCGAATACGATGACTTTCGCTTAAAAATATACAGTTGGAAGTGAATTACTTAATAATTTAGGTTGTGTCTGACATTTGAAAGCTGAAAAACCGTATTTTCTCTCTTGACGGCATTGGCTTTCAAATCCTCACCGGGTCGAGTACCGCACGCTCACAGGCAATCAATAGTTGACTTACGGTAAATATGGGAACAAATCAGGTAATTAGGGGCCATGACAGGACTTGAACACGGGATCTCAGAATATATGTCCAGCACTCTTACCTCTTAACCTTTTGACGTTGGCCATTCATTACCAATAAGATACTGCTAAACGAGCTATATGATCGTAAGTTTAATCACACCAAAAAGACCTAACTACGCGCTTCTGCATCAGGGAGTGGTTCGAGTGTGCCTAATAATGAAGTCTATTCTGCATGAATTGGGTACTAGATCTTTGTTCAGCAAACGTAAGCTTACTAGCTGTGCTCGTGGTACAGCTTGCTCAGGTATGACCATTGGTTGAATGAATGGAAGCTAACACTCGGAAAACCAGTTCCAGAAATTCGGGCGTCAGCGACTTCAAAGGCTTGACACGATTTAGGCAGACTCTCCTCTTGTCCTCTCACTCAACAAGACAAAAGAAGGCTTTGCCGGCAGGTTGACCAGGGGATTAGTAATAAGCCATCATACCCCAAATGCCGATTTTGCCAGTAGTACATGCTTGCTGCTTCGATCCACACAATGGCCTTGATGGCGCTGAACAGGTTTTATAGAATCCTAAAACTAGTAAATTACCGCGGCTATTTTATTACCAGGAAGAAAACTCTACTGATGATTCTTGTGTCGTGGCCTTATTCATGCCCGTCATTGCCATATTTTCTGGCTGGGAACAGAATGGTTCCGTCATCATCCAATCAAAAACAGTGCTGGCATTCATTACCTATATGGTCAACCATTTTATCTTGTGTTTCCAAACTGCACCATCTTCTATTTCCATCTTAGAATCTAAAAAAACCGTTCGTAGTCTTAATAACAACTTTTTAGCGTGGAGCTAACCTGCTGAGGTTTCCATATTGGCATATCATTTTTGATCATTTTAAACAGCTCTTTGAATCCTCTGATGCGACTTGATAAAAGGAAAGTTTTCCTAAGAATTATTTGAAGGTGCAACGCTGCACGTAGTGAGCATTACGTATATATTAGCCAATAACTAATGCAAGCTACGTGTAAGAAACAACAAGTAATCAACTTTTGATGTCTTACAAAATAGAGAGAGGGGTCCAGAGTTATGGATATGTTTCGAAATATTTCTCATTTGACGACAGCGTCTCAATTTTGTCGCCGATTGTAGTTAAACGTTTTGCGCTCGACACTTTGCTTGAGGTTAAAGTCGCAAAAGATAAATCTCTAGATAGCCCAGCTAAGACGCGAAGGCTTGTTTGACGAACTAATTTTGTTTTGAACAGAACAGCTGCACAAAACAGAGCTGATTGGACAGACTGGATGATAACCTTAATTATCAGCTGGCCCATAGAAAGATGATAAGGCATGGTGATGCATTTATTACGGTTCGGGTCTGTCAAATACGTCAACCTGCGGTTGACGATATTAGCTCTATCAGTTTGATTCCGGCTTATAGTTTTGCCCTACTTAGCCGGTGCTTCTTTCATAGTGGGGTGGACTCTGTCATTAACAAGCTGTTGTTTAGAAAAACCTGAAAGGACAGAGATAAAGCAGGTAACTGGAATTTGCTTTTTTCATTTTTCCTTTGTACATAATACTGGTGCAAATTTTATACCATGCACAAAACACAGCATGCATTGGGCCTCAACGTAAAAAGTCAGAATTTTACTCCACACATTTTCATACTATCATTTGTGATGGCAGTTTCATTAATCATTCCTTTAAAAGTTTAATTTTGAAAATCGGAATCTACGAGTTTGATTTACTGAAATGATGTGTTAAAATTGTGAGGGATTGTGCACTTATGAGCTAGTACCTTCAGAACCTTTTTCTTCATTTGTAAACATTTTCTGCATAATACAGAAAACCGCTTCGTTATTTTCCTTTTAACTTGAAGAATACCATTTAACAAAGAATTTAGGTGGGTTGTTAATTTGCTTTCAGGAATTTCTTCAAACCGTCGTGGTTGGAAATTTAACATTCTTCGTTCTAACATTTTTTGACTGTCCATCTTTAAGTACAGGTATTACAATAAAAAAAGAAGAAAAGAAAAACTTGAAGGGTCAAATATTTAAACGTAATTTAGCCAGTGTTTAAGGTGGCTCGACTGGATATTTTGGGGTTGATACCTCCCAAGTTTGAGCATTAACTACGTCGGCATGAGTGAAGATATGGAAAAAAGGTTACCACAACTCTATTATATAAAGATGAAAATTGTTTATGATCTGGGTTTTATTGCAATCGGAGTCGCCATGGCAACGTAATGACGCCATTACGTTTTTCATTTATTGTTGTGTTTCTCTGTACCAGGAGTTTTTTGAAGAAATCGCTTGAGGGAGTATGTACCTGCCATAATTGCCTCCATTATGGCAAGGTTTGAAGAAATTCTATGAGAGCGTTTTCGAGATATTTCGAAATGCAGTTTTAAGAATCATCAAAGCAGTGAAATAGCATGCTAGCCGCTCAAGTCGCTAATAGTTTAAGAAAATGATAAGCTTTGGGAACGCGGCTTCATCTCATAGTGGTTTGATTCCATTGAAAACTGCATACAAAAAAAGAGGGGTATTGCTCTGGGCGATCGCGAGTAACAGGAATTTTATTAACTTGCATTCGGCTGCTTTTGATACAGTTTTTGGAGGTAATTTGGTCCATGCCTAAAAATTTCGCATTGTTCCAAAAACCGCTCGATAAATTTTTTTATAAATTCGACAATTCCGAGATCAATCATCAAGAAATATTCCCTGCAAGTTTCAAGAACATTGAAAACAGGGAAGGCTTTTAAATATGGACTCAAACATAACCAATTTTCCCCCCAGATTTTGTGTTTACAAGTGAGCGTCCTCATTATTCACTGGCATTGTTTTCAAGTTTCATATGTACGTGCACAACTAGCAAAAGATATAAATTTGCATCAAAAAGAACTCTCGATTACTTTCCGAAGAAATATCCGGTATATGCTAATAATTGGCTTGTCGTCACAGATAGCAGTGAGAGCCGAAACGGTGAACGTCACGGCTCATCGTGTAGGATGCAATACTTAATTATCTTAATCGGGTTATAACATCACAGAAACTCTCACAAAGAGTTGCTCTGATGTTATAATGTATCACTTACCTCTTTACCCGGTAATTAGCATATCCCGGAGATTTAACCGAGTGTCCTTTTTGATGCAAATTCTATCTTTTTGCTAAATGTGCACGTGTATATGAAGCTTGAAAACAATGCCAGTGAATAATGAGGACGCTCGCAAGTAAACACAAAATCTGGGGGAAAAATTGGCTATATTTGATGCCCTATTTAAAAGCCTTCCCTGTTTTCAATGTTCTTAAAACTTGCAGAGAATATTTCTTGACTATTGATCTCGGAATTGTCGAATTTATAAAAAAATTTATCGAGCGGTTTTTGGAAAAATACGGAAGTTTTAGGCATAGACCAAATTACCTCTAAAAACTGTATCAAAAGCATCTGAATGCAAGTTAATAAAATCCTTCTTAATCGCGATCGCCCAGAGCAATTCCCCTCTTTTTTTGTATGCAGTTTTCAATGGAATCAAACCAATATGAGATGAAGCCGCGTTCCCAAAGCTTATCATTTTCTTAGAGTATTAGCGAATTGTGCGGCTAGCATGCTATTTCACTGTTTTTATGATTCTTAAAACTGCATTTCGAAATATCTCGAAAACGCTGTCATAGAATTTCTTCAAACTTTGCCATAATGGAGGCAATTATGGCAGGTACATACTCCCTTAAGCGATTTCTTCAAAAAACTCCTGGTACAGAGAAACACAACAATAAATGAAAAACGTAATGGCGTCATTACGTTGCCATGGCGACTCTGATTGCAATAAAACCCAGATCATAAGAAATTTTCATCTTTATGTAATACAGTTGTGGTAACGTTTTTTCCATATCTTTACTCATGCCGACGTAGTTAAGGCTCAAACTTGGGAGGTATCCCCCTAAAAAAATCCAGTCGAACCACCTTAATAAAACCGCGCTTTAACTCATTTTCAATTTGCCCAACGATTTTATCTAAACATCATTTATTGTGAACAGTTTTATGAAAGCATATAGAATGAGAAGACTAGAAAAGCATTTATCTTCTTGTAACAACCCACCAAAGAAGAGATCTGGAAGTTCAAAGATTCGTTTAAACCGCGGCTTAAGTTAGACTTCGTTTAAATATTTGGCCCCAAGTTTTTTAGTTAGAGTTTGACAAAGTTAAACGAGGAAATGTTCTTTACATTCTTTGCTCATTTTCCTGCACGTCTTTATGGTTTTGAATAACAAGTAAATGTTTAAAATATATTAGTTCTCTTTTGCCAAACAGTTAGTTGAATGATTTTTAATAATTTATAACTTATAAAGGTAAATTTGCCGACCTGTTTTCTTGACCCAGAGTATGACTTTAAAAGTAAACGAATCTTAAGGTTTTAGTTTATAAAACGTTTTAATAATAAACCGGTATTGTTTTGGTTCCTGTGAGTGGCAAGGGGAAACTGAATGGTTCTTTAGCGAAACGGTAAACAAAATTCCGGTGTGGGAAATAAGTAACAAAAATAGATTCATCACGGTTTTGTGCAACTAAAATAGTTTGTTAAACTCAGTAGCAGCCTGCGCAGTTTTTCGCTTTTTGCATTTAATAGTTAAGGACATATCAGCCGTTAGAAAATGCAAAATTTTGGGGTGGCGAAGGGTTATTCAAATTACAATAAATTCGTAAAAATTTTGAGTTCATCCAGACTCTATCCAGACTCTAAGATAAAAGAGGGACCTTCATCAAAATTGACTTTGGCTTCAGTTTGAGGGCTTCAGTTTGGCTTAACAATAAGGTGGGGTCCCCTTTCCCTGCGTCCGTCTCCGTCCCCTTGATCCGCCACTGTGTATCCATATAACAGACACGTAACACCATTTAGTATTTACCAAATCAGTGAATAGCACTTTTCGCGCGTTTTGATTGGCTCCGGTAACTCGGAATGTCCTTGGCTATTCACTGTTTTGCGACCGGAGCCAAGATGGTGTCTCGTTCAGAGACATTTTCGAAAGACAAAGTTTGAGCGATAAATGAAGCAGTCGTACAAACAAATACCAAGAAAGCGACGACCTTTGGCTTGTCAGTGCTGACTGGTAGTTTAATGTTTTTCTTTCTTAATTTGCGACAAAATCGTAAAGATGCACTTGAAAAAATCCCCGAAATGTTGTCCATTATAAACAAAGTTCCTACCATTCTCGTCCCCAGAGCCACTCGGCTTAATATGTAACCGACCAGTGGCTCTGGACGCAACGGAAAATACGAATTTTCTCATTGGCTGAAGGCAATTGAATGCGCAAAGCAAATTAAAAATATAATCTACTGCGCATAACATTTTACTTCGTACCCTCTCGACCTGCAAACATAAAATCCGTGTCTGAGTTTCGTTGACTGCGACAATCCTGTTTTGTTTATATGCAACAGCAGTGAAAAAGAGAATTGCAGGTAAAGTTTGAGAAGTTTCTACGAAGACAACGAGCCTTGACAAAGAAAGTATTGCCTTCGTTGAGCCCTAAACTTTGCCCCTGTCTCGACCGTCGCATCTCCTGGGAAACTGAAAGGAGGAATAATGGTCAGTTCGCTCCTGCTGTTGCGCCTTGCTCGTTAAAAATCAAGCGATTGATACTGTACTTTTATGGCGTTATTAATTAGTCTAATCAGTTTTTCTAATTCCTCTGGATATTCGTCGGTACTACAGTGGGAAAGGAAATCAAGCTCCGACTATTTAATTACAGAAGTGATATGTACGTTAAGTTTATTGCAGTGTGCTTTTAATTTATTGTATCTTCTGCTGAAATTACCTCTCCTTTGCTATACTAAGGTCAAGATAATATTTTGTTATATGCCTTTATTTCATTAGACCACTGATGGCAGTGCACAAAGCCAGAACTGAATTGCTTATTAATCATTTTGGGCTGCATGCAAAAGGCGATGATAGAGCAAGTACTCTTTTCAATCTACGTCTTCTTCCGCTTAATTAATGCTTAAATCATGCTTAGATAATTCGGAAACCTGCTTTTAGTTTTTATTTTAACAGTAAGAATTGGGCTGTGAAAGGAAAGGCTATGTGGCCCACTTGCTACAAATGTTTTGCAAGAAGATATTCTCATCCTAACAGTCCTTGCTTGGCTTCCAGTCGTGTGGCATTTAGACAAAGATAAACAAGGGGCTCTGGGGTTAATTATAACTGATGAACAGTTAACAAAGAAGCAGCTTTTGCACAATTCTTCTTGATAAATAATTATGTTATCTGATCACTACATAGGGTAGCACAATGTTCTCAACCTTTTTGGTTTAAGAATTCTAAAATACAAGAAAACTTAACGGTGTATAATTAGGCATACAGTATGTGAAAATTGGTTCTAGATTTTTTGATGATGTTAGGGACAACTGAGGTGTTAATAAATACAATGATAAATGAACAACAGCCTAGAGTAGTCTATTTTGCATCATACAGGGGTAAGTGGTTGTTGATGATAACAACTGGATTTTGCAGTATGTCACCTTTGATAGGGACTGGATAACATTATAGCTTGATCAAGAGTAATATCATAGTTTACTTGCCAATCCTAACCACACCTGCTCTCCACTCCTCCTTGAGCTTGCATACAGCAATGGCTTACTGAAGGATAGGGCATCTTAGTTTACTTGGTTATTGACAAATAATGATGAGCCAAATTAAAACTTTCTTCCACTGGTCAATGATTCAGTTCTGGTTAAGCCTTTTTCACAGTTGGAGGCCTCATGTTATAACAAAAATTAATGAATTGAGGGTGGGGATTGGGGGTGGGGCACCACCCCACAAAAATCAGTTCAGATTCACCCCGCAGTATGCTTCTTGCCTTGCCAAATTTTGACCAAACTATGTGATTTTCACTATCCTATTTCAGGCCTGATCCAAAGTTCTATCCCCAATTTCAAACCTTGCAGGTCTTGCACCCCAGTCTCAAAACATGATGAGAGCAGCTACCCAAGAAAATGCTTTTGGGTTGTGTGTTAATCAAAGTGTACTTCTTAACGGGGGGATCTCTTAAAGCATACAGTGCATATACAGTGCGTATATCACTTTACATTTCACTTTTCCAGATAAGAAAGTACAGCTATATAGCTTATGATATCCCGCTCTAGGCATTCAGATAGTGAGAGGTAAGTAGTTTTTTTTTTAGTTTTGTTCTCTTTGCACCTTCCCCAATACCTGAATGTCTGGCACAGGCTACCATAAACTACTGCTTTTAAGCCTCTCCCCCCCAACTTATAGGCCCCCCAGTTATATATAAGCCCATTTACCAGTTAACAAGAAAAAATGTCCCCCTGGTTATAAGCCCTCCCCTAAGAAAAAAAGAACCTTTAAACCCCTTACAAAGATGTGTAACCGATGAGCTCATAAGTGGTACTTTAAAACAGGTTTCTCTCTGGATGCATTTGCATAATTACCATCACTTCCTACTAAACTAGTGTCCTGGGAAACACTTTTTATTAGTAACCAGTAATCAAAAGTACATATAACTGTTTATACCCCTACAACAGAGGTGACAAGAGCTCACCTATACTGTGAAAGTTACAAAACCATGAATACCACAAATATTAAGGAATGCTATTGCGTTGCAAAGAAAAAGCTAATAAGGGGTGAGAAAACAAAGCCTCAAACGGCAATGGTAATTACCTTGGGTTTTGAGGTTTGGTCATGCATGTTTACTGAACGTTATGGTGATTGGTCACTAGACAATCAACATTTTTCAGGTATTAATGATTTTCTGAGTCTGACAGCAAAATTATTGAAAACTCTCTCTTTGAGGTACTGACGATGATTGATACCTGAAATCTTTAGGAGGATAAACCCTTTTAGCAGAACACTGAATGGCCCCCATAAACACCAAATGACTCAGACGTTTTATGATTAGGGTTAGGAAACTCGGGTTCCATTTTCAGTTAGGGTTGATATACGGAGAGAACTGAACTGGATTTGGATTCACTCAGTACTGTATAAAGTTGCCATGCATGGAAGCCCATAGAGGTTTTATTAGACTGTCATTTCTCCTGGACAAACCTTGTAATATATGTCTTTTACACTGGGTCGGTAAAATGATTAATATTGATTTTTCTCGAAGTAGATCCTTCGGTTGTCTGACACGTGTTGTACACAAAGCTCATCGGCAAAATTAAAACCACGACATGCGACACCACAAAAGGAAATAAACATAGGAAAAAACACAACCAGCTCGAGTGAAATGAAATATATATTTTACTCTGCTAACACAACGCATGAATGGTTTCGTTTCAAAAAGCGTTTTCAAGTAAGATAGCAGTTGCAGGGCATGGAACAAGATACCTCTTTAGATTGACTTTTTCCCGCATTATATAGATCTTCGCGATATTGCTTTCCCAGTGTTTGTTCGCCAAACGTATTGAAAAAAAAACTCACATAACTCAGACGATAGTCTGTCGATTAATTGTCTCAGTTCTGCAAACCAACAGTGTGTTCAGCCGGTTTCTGTTACTGTCTTCTTCTTTTAACTCCAAATTATCAGTGAATCCAAGTTGAGTGAAGTGGTGCACTTTCAAAACATCCCAAGGAAGCCACTCTCTGGAGAGAACTCAGGAAGTAAAATGTTTCCCCCAGTAGAGCGGTGAAGGACAAAAATCCGTCATGAGCATGAGCAGTGATATTTGTAACTTCTGCACCTGCGTGACGGGATGTCAGAAATGTTCTGACATCCGGTAACGGCTGCTTCCAGAGCCCCTCGTTTCCCGACCACGTGACCAAGAAACGACGGGTTCTGGGGACGAGAATGAGTTCCTACTAAGTGACGTTATTGATTTACAAAAAGTTACTTTTTTTCAGTTTTATCCACCTGATTTGGTAAATACTAAAACAACTATCCCCTTCAGGGTCGGTGAACAGCGCTAGATATCTACCTCGACGCTTCGCGTCATAGTTGTATAGTAACGCCCGTTGCATATGTTCTACTTTTAGCTGGACCTGAAGGTACTTACAGAAAAAAATAATTTCCACACAGGATCAACTGGCAGATATGTCAAGAGACTTAAAATCAAGAAGCAGAGCAAAACTTATTCTGGAATCGGGTTTTTTATGGCTTATTTTGTTGTTTTTATTCGTTGGAAACTTCATAACACTCCTGGTTATGTTGTTAAACCGACGGATCCGAACAATTCCAAACATGTTCGTGGCATCACTCGCTCTTTCAGATTTACTCATAGGAGTTCTAGGCGCGGGTCCTTTAGCCCTTCCTGTATTGGTGACTTCCAGTGACCCCTTTAATGATACCTTTTGCCAGTTCCAAGGGTATATAGCTATAACATTGGCAGTGGCTTCAATTTACACATTGGTCCTGATGGCAGTGAACCGGTACTATAGAATAGTCCAACCGGCAAAATATCGTCACTACTTCACAAAGAAGAAAACCACGATAATGATTCTTGTATCCTGGTTGTCGTCACTAACTGCTCCATTGCCATATTTCTTGAGTGGGCACAAAATGGTTTTCCATCCTTTTAAGCTCTTCTGCGTTCCTAAAATCATTGCGGTTGTGGGAATTTCGGGCACAGTGTGTTTGGGGATTTCATGTGCCATCATTCTTTACTGCTACTTTAGAATCTTCAAGACAGTTCGCCACCATAATAACAACTTTCGTCTCCCTGGCAACCCAGTAAACACGATAAACGTGGAAGAAGTAAAGGTTGCGCGCACACTATTTATAACAGTGGTGTTTTCGTTCTATGTTGGGCTCCAATTATGGTTATTGTGGACACCATCCACGAAAAATGGATCTTCCCTCGCGAGGCCTACCTAGCATATAGTTTTTTGGCCGTTTTCAGCAGTGCTTTGAATCCTCTAATATATGGTGTGCTTAACAAAAGTTTTCGCAAGTATTATCTTAAGGTGTTGTGCTGCAGGTGTTGCCGTTCTCAAGGTGTAGTGGAACCGTTGGCTCTGCAAGGAAGTTAGTGTTGTGGGATGGAACCGCTGCGAAACAATATCCAGGTTGAATCGGATTACTCAATAGTTTAGGTTGTGCCATGTTCAATAATTATTACCTGAAACGTGAAAGTTGACGTCACGAGAGGCAGGGTGGCCGAGTGACCAGCGCGTTGGTCTGGCAATCCGGCGGTCTCGGGTTTGATCGAGCCCCGCTCTTATCACTTGCTTCAATTGTTCTCGGTCTTCTCCAGTTCAAATCCTCGGCCAAGCTCTTAAATTAAAGCCAACTGGTTGCCCCCTGCCAGTTGGGGTTTTTATTGCTGTTATGTTCTATTTGGATTATTTGTTTCTGATTATTTGACTGGAGTGCCTAGCTTCTGTATGACATTTATCTGTTTCTGTCACCTAATAACGGTTTCCAGATCGAATGGTAAGATTAATTTTCACACTTAGTTTGGTTGCGGGAAAATACACTTCTTTCAGCTTCACACACGAAAATGTGCCACTCATCAACAAGCCTTTCAATTTGTTCAGACCGCTGTTCTTTCATGCTAACGACAGAGCAGAAAATAATATAATGAATAATATAATATAGTGAATGATACAATGTTAAAAAGGATATGCTAGTGAACTTTCCGGTTATTAGAATCCTAAAGGAAGGAACGTCTATTGAGGAATTTGTCAGGTATTCATGAACACTTAAGACCACCCCCTCGAAAATAACCTTGGACACATGTCTTAGTATACTTGAGACGAACATCGAAAGCTCTTGGAAGATCAAGATTCCAGCAAAAGTAAATATCTGTTTTCACGAAAAGAACGCGTTCTTTGAAAACGCCGCAAATTTTCATGGGAATCCAATAAACTCGGTAAACGTAGAAGAAGTTAAGGTGGCTCCCACCGTATTCTTAATAGTGGTGTTTTTTAATCTGAGTTGGATTCAAGTCTTAACAATTGACTTTGTGGACAATATTTTCCAAGGATGGATCTTCCCTTCTGATGTTTACATTTCATATACTCCTTTTTTTTTTTCACTATCAGCAGCACTGTCAGAATCCTTTAGTTTACGGCGTGGTGAACAAGAGTTTTCGTGCGAATTATTTGAAGTTGCTGCACTACACGTGCTGCCGATCTCAAGCTGTCGTGGTACCGTTGGCCTTGTGTGGAAGGGCGGCTGTTATGGGCATGGAACTACGGCCATTGCACTTTGTACAGTAAAATGCGAATTAAAGGTGCTACTGGTCACTGTAGTCTCGAACATGTAGTTACGTGAGTCGCATAAGTTAATTTACAATAAACTGACATAAACTTTTACAAATTGTTGGCTGAACAGTATTGTCGTGCAAACTTTGACGGGGACTAGCTGATCACTTCGACAAAATAACCAGTCTTGGTTTTTAGTTGATTATCAAAAAAGTGGTGAGATCATGCTATTTGTGATTAAAAACCTTTCCCTGTTCTTCAGATGATCGCGTCATCGGGTTGACCGGTTGGCTTTGTCGCCTTCTTCCTTACACATCAATTGGAAGGGAACGCGAAATTACCCGTGGCAATGTACGAAAAGAGAAGGGAACGTAGGCCCCGATGATCACTTTTTCCTCAACCGAATGTGTTTTAGTCATTTTCAATAAATTGAAATAAATCCCAAACAGCAAACACAATTCTCTTGACACTTCTGAAAAAAGAACTGGGAATAGTTATTATCGGTATCGGTTTTTATCATTCAACAGAATTAAAACTTAACCGTATGTTCAACTTAATGAAGCGTAAATATGGCAAGAATTAAATCCTTTTTTTTCCATATCAACATGTTCTGGCAATTTCTTCTTCTAAATGGCTAACTTTGAAGTACAAAATGCTCGTCTTTGGCTCCGAAATCAAAATTTTGAGTGATTTGAAGATTTGAGTAAGTGTATTTGTTTCTCAACAGGAAAAGTTCTTGCTTTTATTATAGCCACCTGCATTTTTTACGGTCTGTCAAATTATGTCAACCTTCCGTTAACTAATATTCGATCTAGCTCAAGCTTAATTGTAATAATTCTTAGTTTAACGTACATGGAAGACCAACGTAAACCAGGTAACGTCTCTTTGTTTTTATATTTCACATTATACACACACACACTTTATTATTATTATTAACAATCTACATTTACATAAAGTCCATTTCCGTCCGCAAATAGCAGGTGCTAGTCGAGGCGGGCGGAGATAATATTAGGTACAGCAGTCAGTAGAAAGTTACAAATAAATAGATAGATAAATTTTTGGTATAAATTTTATTTTTACCAGTTTTGTTTAAAACTCATTATTATACAAATTACCTCACATATGAATTATCATTTGTGAAAGAATAACGGTCTTATTAAATACAAATTTTCTTTAAAAGTGTAATTGTCAGAAGGAGAATGATGCCTTATGGTGAGTTATCACTGTTGTTTAATTTTCTATGTGTTTGAACGTGAGCAAATAAATTTGTATAGGTAATAACATGATTTGTAGTGATATTAGGCACAAATACCAAGAGTGATATTTCGAAACTGTTATACGTAATTTCACGAGCCGTTAGGCGAGTGAAATTTGAGACAATTTTGAAACATTACGAGAGGAGTGTAGCTAAATGTCGTGGGTCGTGGGTAGTGGGTAGAGGTCGTGGGTCGTGGGCGTGGGTCGTGGGTGTGGGTGTGGGTGTGGGTAAATGTTGTGGGTAAAAAAAGTATGGAAAAAAATGATAAAAAGATAATAATAATAATAATAATAATAATAAATAGAAAAAATGTAAAATATTTATAAAACGAAAATCTCCAACTCCTCGATTGCTCTTTACTTCACGGCTTCTCCTTCGTCCTCTTCCGGATATTTCCTTAGACACGTGGGACTTGGCTCCCCTTTCACACCATCACTGCCATACATGTTGCCGATGGAAATATATACATACCTAAACAGCTCTGACTCGCTGAACGGAAGTGGCTGCTCACTTTTAATCTTTATTCGATCTACACTTCCAGTGATCAGCGGAGATTTCTTAACACGATGGAATGCGATCACCGTGGGAAAGGGCAGGGAAAAAGGACAATTTTGAGGTAATTCATAGTTTTGCATAGAGGTCTTGTTTTAGGCTAGCTAATAACTTACGAAGGAACCACCTTCATGCTCAACCTTTCAAGTTAAGGCGCGGACAGTATGTAAATTTTATTGGCGTACGTAAATATAATTTTCTCGTTTTTTTTGTTGTTTTGCGAACAAAATCTATGCTGTAACGATTCTAAATATCATTCCTTTAACTGAAAGGACGTTTCAGTCACGAAAAGGACTGGCATGTACACGGAGATTTTCGTTTCATGAATTTTACAACTTTTTGCCTTTTGATTTTTTAATTTTAATTTTTTTTTGGAAAGCTTTTTTTTTACCGACATTTACCCACACCCACACCCACGACCCACACCCACGACCCACGACCTCTACCCACTACCCACGACCCACGACATTTAGCTACACTCTTACGAGAGGTGTTTATGCCAAATATCACGTCCAATTCATGCTATTATTTGTTTATACTACTACCCGCAAAAGGTTTGTAATTTTCACATGTAGGTATTTCAAATTAAGCTGAAATACCACTACTCTAAGCCAATCAAATTGCAGAAATTTTTCTTGTAGTAGTATAAATGAATATAAAAGAGAGGCTTGTAAATGTTAACATTGGTCCTCTCTCAACTTGTACGGTTGCGCACGACGTTTCGTTTCCTAGTTTATGGTGTATGGTAGCCGAGGACTGCCACTCAGTTTTCAGGGCATTAAGAGCGGATGTCAGCAAATATCGACCAGAGGTCTACAAAAGTGAAAAATCGAAAATTCTCAAAAAAATTCACAAAGTAGCACTAGGTAAGCTATTAACATAAATGTAATTTTTACTTCGATCCGATAATTATTTTCCACGTACGGGGGGGTTATTGGTTTCGCGGCTCTCGGACCGGGTTTCCAGGCCCGAGACCATGTGTCACAAAAAAATCGTTTTAAAATTCAAATCCATTGTAATGCGGACAACAAATAACTTATTCAGAAGAGTACTTAATTGCACACATTCTAAGTGGTGATTTACTCAGTTTGAACGAAAGTGTAGTATTTTGGAGATTTTTCATTATTTTCAATATTTTGAACGTCTTCGTTCAATGAAAAAATGGCAAATTTCAAAGCCCAAAATCGTCGACTGGTACCCCGATTTCAGTAACGAGTCTTATACCACGTTAAAGAGCGTTATCTCTTCTTTCAAAATCTGTTTTCAAAACTACGGGCAACTCAAAAGAAAATTTTTGAGGCCAAAAAATACAAGTAGTACTTTTCTGAAATTTGAGCTTTCCAGACGTGGCGGGCCGATGCTAAAAACTTGGAAAAATACAGTAAGAAATCAGTTGGAGCAATAGTGGTTTCATGTTATCAGCTTTCAGAAACCAAGACGTGTTTATACAGAGATCTGATATAAATTAATGCCGTTTGCTATCAAGAAAAGCAGATTTAAGCTGTCAACTCCTGCCAAGTGCACCAGTCACGTGAAGTTGTCAAAGGGAGGGCAAAGCACTGATATTAAAAAGTCTCAAAATTCAAAACGTTTTACGTCCATGAAATCAGATTATAGCGTACAAAACAATGTTGTGAATGTCTGTTGTTCGTACATTAGCATGGTGTTTCCATATATTGGAAATGTCAAGTATCCACGCGGGAGAACATACCAAACAACAACGTTTCAAAGCTATAAAGCGCCGAAAGATCGTAAACGGCAAAGATTGCGTTACATTTCACAGAACGACCGCTTACCACTGTTGTCACTCCTTTTTTCGCTGGAAGCTACGAGGAGTTTTCATTCCGTCATGAGTGATTCTTGATCAGCGTTTCCTTGAAAGTACGACTCCGGACAGGTGTTAACTGAGGACGTTTCGTCAAGACTCCTGTTGGTCAGTTTCAGGCTTTAGCAGGTGCGTAGTCAGGATTTTTCTGGAGGTACGCCCAACTTTTTCGAGATCCTCTTCCCCACC